ATCAGGATGGCCGAGTGGTTAAGGCGATGGTCTCAAGATCCATAGGACATTAGTTCTCGTGGGTTCAAACCCCACTCCTGGTAGGAAATAGGTGAACAACGATCTGTTTGGCTGTAAAATTGCTTAAATAAGGGCGAGATAAGTTTCTTTGTCCACTCAAAGGAGGAGTATATGCAGGGCTGCACATAACTGGTGCATGCGCATCTCCGCCAAAAAAAGAGCACCGGGTCATTTGAAAAAAGGCGCATTTGCGTACCAATATTGAGAGAGAGAGAGAAGAGAGGAGAGAGGAGAGAGAGAAAGATATTTGCGAGTTGCATATGAACTCAGGGCTGGCCCGTAGCACTGGCGTTATAGATGTTCGCCTAGGGCGCCAGATCTGGGGAGGCGCTGCTCTGGGAGGGAAAAAAACATTTTTGACCGTCGCTACAGGGTGTACTTTGGGGGTTTGTGACTCTGCAGACCGTTTACATGCAGAACAACCTTCATAACAACAAGGGGACGGGTGATAACCGGAGAAGCATGACATGGGCCCTTTAAAAATAAAGGTGCAATAAATATGTTTGTGACCTTTGGCAGAGAGAATTGCATCGTAAAAGTGAGATTTAAGGTTAAAAAACCTTAATTAACGTAAAAAACGTATATTTTGCGTCTTTAACTAATGTGAGTGAACGAAAACAATAACATTTCAGGTGATAAAAACCAAAATTCTGAGCGGAAAGATGCAATAAAGCTCAGTATTAAAGGATAGTAGTAATCCAAAAATCTCTGCCTACATTTCCATATTTTCCCATGGACTCCTTAGAATACTACACTAACAATGTCAACATTTGAATAAACTGAACAATGTTAATGTGCACACAGTGTCTGCTTAAAAGTCCTTGAAACAGAATGTGTGTATGTCTTAATCAGAGCGCCACACACGTGCTAGTTGGCTTCTGTAATAGTTGTGAATAATTACTGTCTTCAGTAATTCTGTAATCAGCATTGGAAGTAAATCTGGCTGGCGTCTGTGTGGATACATCACGGATATCACAAGTCTACAGGCTCTGTCTCATTTTCTCCTTGCATTGCCTCGAAGGCTGAAATGAAACCCCATTAAATCAAACTTGATTTTATTTCACTTTCAATTGGACATGCCGCAGAGAAGGAGAAGCTCATTTCTGACGCTGCATTAAGGTGAAAAAAGAAAAACCACAGCACTTTTTCTGCTTTGATAAAAACTGTGACCTGATTCTGATACGTTTCGAACATCAGAATCTGGGATTTGTCTCCTGTTCCTCAGTAGTCAGACTGACAGTGGATCAATACAGAGTGTTTGTGCTTGAGCTCGTGGGTTTTCTGCCTGGCTTTAGTTTGACTTGGACATTTTATTTGTTGTATCAGAGCTGACCACCACATTCCCAAATATTTAGAGCCATTTATCTTCTCCTCTTTCCTGACCAGAGCCCTTGTCCGGCTTTGTACCATGATACAGACCCACCACAAAATCATTTATATGTATTGATTACTGCTAGTGATGGGAATTACGGCTCTTTGAAGGGAGCCTGATGTTATGGCTCCGTTCCTTTCCGAGAGCCGTTCAAAAGAGCCGTTTTTGTTTTAAGGGGGCGGGGTTAATAGGTGTATCTGTGAAACTATCACCAGGATAATGATTGACTGTTTTGCCAGAAATCTACTTTTACTCACAGAAAAATATATAACTTGCTACATCTCTCAGCCAGCCAAACTGCTACTCAAGCAGCATGCGTTACGCCATCATCTACGGCAAAAGAGCATTCAGGAAAGCAAGTTCCCGTAAAGGCGAGTGGATTTATGGCAGGCGGTGAACCAATGATAAAAAGAACGGCTCTCACCGAGTACGACTCGGTTCCCTTTGTTCGTACCAAAGAGCCGTTCAAAAGAATCGTATCGTTCGCGAACGTAACATCACTAATTACTGCTGAGTTTACTTACCCTAAACCATTTTGCAGTGCATCCTTTTTAAGATGTTTTTGTTTGCCCGTGTATTCATTCAGTCACTTTTCACAACCCTGCCCTTAGGGGTCAATAGGATGCATTGAAGTGTCTACATGACATACAGAGCCAGGGTCATTAGCTTCTCTTGAAACACTGCTGAACTGTGAGGAGTGATTTTAATATTGTGTCCTTGTTTTGAGGTATAGCGTGACCAGGATGGCCGAGTGGTTAAGGCGTTGGACTTAAGACCCAATGGACGTTAGTCCTCGTGGGTTCGAACCCCACTCCTGGTAGGAAATGCAGCTTTTAAGGCCTTGGGTTTGTTTGGAACTACAGATTCAAGTATCACATTACAGTTCAATGAACATTACAGTTCAATGAACTTTAAAAGGTTCTTTCCACTACCAAAGTCCAGTTGAGCAAAACACAATTCCGTGTTGCTTTATGGTAGCTGCCTAAAACTAGGAGCACATGTGACGATAAATACTTGATTTATTTCTAATTCAAAGAAAAACAAGCCAGTGAAATTAACTTAGAATATTCATCTTGTGTCTTATCTGTCAGAGAGACACCATTATTTATTTTATTTTATTTGTATTATCATACGTTTTACCTCCTTTAGTCTATTAACCTGATAACATGTTGTATTTTGCTGCATGTACCTTTTAAAGTTCTTATCAAATAATGGAGGGGATTTTCTTGTTGTTTGTTTTTAACTTGTGATATGTCATTTTGTAAAGCACTTTGAGCTGCATGTGTTGAATGAAAAGTGCTATATAATTATGATCTTTCTTTGACTATGTAGTTTGAATCCCTAAAGGAGTTTTTTGTTTGCTTGGTGTGTTAGTTTGTTGGTTTGTTAATCAGCAAGGTAATTGTGAAATGGATAGCTTGATGGACTAAAGGAAGAACCAGAAGAGTGTGAAATCCGCTCCGGATACATGCATTAGCTTTGGCGGGAGAACTTCTCGTATAATTAAGATGAACTGGATTTAAGTTTTAGGGGAAAGTGGTGCTTATACCTGAACGCACAATGCAAACATTCAAATGAGCTTTTAAACCCACTGTGAAGTCTCTGAACACGGTACATACTGCAGCTGGAAGAAATGCCTTTCTGCAGAGTCATTCATATCAGAGGAACCTCCTGATCTTTTAGAGAAGCTGCTGCTGCATCACCTCTAAGCTGAGCTCACGGAAATCTTCTTATTTCTCTCTTTTAATCTCAGCCTTTTAAATGATGTCATATTTAAGAGCTTTAAAGACCTTAGCGCTTTAGAGTATTAGGGACCAACCGTTTATATTAAGAGCTCCTAATTACAGAGTCGTTTAGGTGTACTTCATGTAACATCACATACTAATTAGCACCAGTTAAAAAAGGAAGATGATGAAGGATGTAGTAGTAAATGACACTATTAGTATGGCAGGTTCCTAATTTATTAAAACAAACGATATAGTCACTGCAGAAAAATGTGTTATAAATACTGAAATATAAAAAAACACCAGATAGATTGGTGTGAAATCACTAGGGAACAAAACATGAAGCCTTGACGAAAGGAGGTAATGGAAAATGTAAATAGTTCTGTTTCAAAACAAATGTTTAATTCTAAATAAGCAGAGGTTTTGAGATGGATAAATGCAATCTATTTTCCTCCTCTTACCTGACCTCAGAGAGAGCAAGCTTGAATTGAATTTCTCCAAGTATATCTTATTTTATTAAAAATGTTTTCGGTTTAATTCCCTGTTGAAGCTTTTTGCCGTTAATTCAACCCTAACACTTCCTCCATGTTTCCCTTCTGTCTTGATAAGTTCACAATAATCACTGTATTCTATAACACAAAATAAAACTGTGAATAACAAGTGAGGGTGCTTCTAATAATAAGATACCCTCAGAGCAGCAGGCTGTAGAATACATGGCCGGATAAACCTGTCACACAATGTCTACAAATCCTGCATATTATATATAAGCAGCGCGTCAATAAAACAGCAGCTCCAGCACTCTGTCTGTTTCTACACAGGATGCCAAAAATATGCTTTTCAGACCCTAATAACCCGACACTAGAAACTCTGCAAAAGTTCCTACTAGGTGACCCATTATTCCTGCAAAGCACTTGTTGCATGTCTGGTACTTATTTATTTTTATTTGTGGGTAATTTCCCTCTCCTGTAGTGTGTTATACTGTAAAGGTTTCAGTGCATGTAACATTTGGTCTGCAAAGGCTAAAATCATTAATATAATAACATAAATGTATTATGTCAAGAGATTTCACATAACTGTACAGTGTAAGGTTAGTTGAAAGCCGTTATATGAAAAAATATATTTATTAGGTTCAACTTTCAACCAACCTTAAACAGTTGTGTGAAATCTGTTGATATAATACATTTAATTAAAGTCAACATTTCAGTGTTTTTTGTGTATGACACTTCCGATCGTGCACATAGGCTTCTATTAAACCCAACTGTGTGACTATAAGTCAAGATATCGAGCCTTAAATCAACTTTATTAATCATTCATGTTTATTAATACATTCCCCAAGGGTTAGGTACATCTTGGTGCATGTTCCTCTGTGATTCAGAGGACTTGTTATTGTGTTCACCTATTCAGTTGGTATCGATTATCTTATATAAATACCAAAATACGTTAATGAGCAGCTGGCAGGTGTTGTATATTCTATATATAGAAGGATGGATGGATAGATAGATAGATAGATAGATAGATGGATGGATGGATAGATGATAGGATGGCATGATGGATGAGGATGGATAGATGGATGGATGGATGGATGGATGGATGGATAGATAGATAGATGGATGGATGGATGGAGATGATAGATAGAGCATGGCTAGATGGATGATGGATAGAGGATAGATAGATGGATGGATAGCTGGATAGATAGATGGATGAGTAGCAGGATAGATGGATTGGATAGATGGATGGATGATGGATGATATATGGATGGATGGATGGATGGATGGATAGATAGATGGATGGATGGATAGATGGATGGATAGATGGATGGATGGATAGATGGATGGAAATACAACTCTCCACTAACAAATATAATACAATATAATACTCTCAAAACAGCACAATATGTCCTCTTTAAATTCCCATTAATGCAAGTGGA